CTACCTCAAGTGGAGGAGTTTTAGTATCCCGGGGTCTTGTTCACGAGTGAGGGTAGATCACGAGTGAGGGTAGGAGGGATCGGGAGATCGACAGGTGGATTGGTCCGGCGTCTGCAGCGATGCAGACGCTGAGCTGATCTGTCGTGGTGAAGAGGGAGCTGAGCCAGAAAGCCAGGCTCTCGATTTACCGGTCAATCTACGTCCCAATCCTCACCTATGGTCATGAGCTTTGAGTAATGACCGGAAGAACGAGATCGCGGATACAAGCGGTCGAAATGAGTTTCCTCCGTAGGGTGGCCGGGCTCAGCCTTAGAGATAGGGTGAGGAGCTCGGACATTCGGGAGGGACTCGGAGTAGAACCGCTGCTCCTCCGGATCGAAAGAAGTCAGTTGAGGTGGTTTGGGCATCTGGTCAGGATGCCTCCTGGACGCCTCCCTGGGGAGGTGTTTCGGGCATGTCCTGCCGGCAGGAGGCCCCCGGGTCGACCCAGGACACGTTGGAGAGGTTACATCTCCAATCTGGTCCGGGAACGCCTTGGGGTCCTGCCGGAGGAGCTGGTGGAGGTGGCTGGGGAGAGGACGGTCTGGAGCTCCCTAGTTGGGATGCTGCCCCCGCGACCCGGACCCGGATAAGCGGAGGAAGACGACGACGATTTATTTGCTTAAAGTATTTTTTATTTATATGAGAAAACATGTTTTTAAAATGCATTAAAGGCCACATAACTGCACACATTCTGCTCTTAATGGTGCTGTTTGAAGTAGCAAACAGCCAAAACATTAATGGCGCGTCTCGTGTTTGACAGTGAGCAAAAGTTAAAGATTAGAAGCAGCATCCTGCTACATGAATCCACGTGTAAGCCATAAAAGTAGACGTTTAAATCACCTACTTCTGCATTTAGTATTATTGTTTATGTTACTAAAACTAAAGAGTTGTGTTTCAACAATGCAAAGTCTAAAAAGTCACTATTTTGGGTAAAAATTTAAATACTTGCAACAAGTTATGTCATTCTATCTGATATTGTGATTGTGGAAGGGATGTTATCCATGGTCTGGTTATCGGTTTGCATTAGGCAAGCATGTAATTAGAGTTCTATTTTTGGTTCTTTTTTAAACACAGATAAGGTTTTTTCTTTACCTTGCAGACGTTTCGCTTGCGGCTGCAAACATTCTCAGAGCTGACGCTGATAGTGGCATCACTTCCTACTCCGTTTATCCGCGGGCAGCAGAGGACGTCGTCGCCCTCTGCTGCCCGCTCTCCCCTCTCCGATGATGCAGTCCCATGCGCGGTCCAATGAGTAAACTCCATCGTCTCTGTTCATGGTCCCACATCCACCTCGCCTTATCTCTATAGCTTCCTTTATCCATCTTTTGTATTTCTGTTGTTCGGTGTTTATGATCCTTGTGTTGTCCCAGTCCATTACATGGTTTTCTCTTGTGCAATGATCTGTTGCGGCTGACTTCTTTATTGTGCTTTCTGCTTCTTGTTTTGCTGTTCTTGTGTGTCTTCGACTTGCCTCTTTCTCGCACTCCTTTCTGTGTTCTATTGTTCGTGTGTTGAGTTGGCGTCCGGTTTCTCCTATGTATGTGTGTTAGTGTTTCTGTTTGTCCTTTTGGTATGATTATAAAGATAAAATAAGATTAATTATGGAAACGCTACGTAGACGACATACTGGAAATCATACCAAAAGGACAAACAGAAACACTAACACAACACTTGACGACACAGGCAGCATAAAGTTCACTTATGAGTCTGAAACAGAAGGCAGCATAGCATTTATGGATATGAAAATAAGCAGGCAGACCGACGGAACCCTAAACATAAACACATACAGGAAACCAACACACACAGACCAATATCTATTATGGACATCAGAACACCCCACCTTACACAAAATGCCAGTACTCAGAACACTATATCACCGAGCAATACGGATGAGCACCTTTGACATTTGAATCGATTCGGTACTAATTCCCGGTACCTATGAATCGATACCGGTACTTAACTGTACAAATTTTCGATAAGTTGGAGTGTTTAATATTTTATTTCTCTTTTATAATTAAATATATATTTTTCTCAATTTATAACCATATTTGATAAATATCACGCTAAATAACATACAACTGTTTGTATTTTAACATGGTCCTTGTAGTTTTATAAGCTGATAATTAAACTGAAGCAAACATCTTTACTGTGAACTAAATTTACTGTGTATCTTCATTCCTTTAGTCGTCCTTTTTCATTTGATTTTTCCTACTGGGAATTTAGAATTTCCGAGGAGAAAGCGAACGCACCATTAGCTGATAACAATGGTGGCAATGGAGGCTAATTTTAAGAGCTAACGTTATCTTAAACAGTTTATTTAGCTGCTGGAGCAGATTAAAACGATGATGCCTCACACTTAGATCGTTGTCGCTGGTTTCATCTTCACCCAAACTTTAGAGCGCGTTCACGTTCTTCTAGCCGGAAATTTGGAGTTCCGAGGAGAAAGCGAACGTACTATTAGTGGAACGGAAGCTAACATATCAAGCTAACGTTATTGTAAACATTTTATTTTCCTACCGGAGCAGGTTAAGATGAGGATGTCTCACTTAGCTCGTTGTCGCTGGTTTCATCATCACCCAGTTACCCATCACATTTAGTGAAGTGGACCCAAGCTTTAGCGTGCGTTCTTTCTACCATGCTGCTCTGTTTACAACTGGCTCGCAGCGACCGACGACATAACGCTGTTGCGCATGCGCAGCTGTCTAGGCAAGTTCTCGTTATGAAGGACGGGTACCGAAACGAGGCGCCGTTTCAAATGATGTGAATCGGTGCTCAGTCGGTACTGTGGAATTCGGTCTGTACCTTAAAAAGTACCGAATTCGGTACCCATCGCTACCGAGCAAACATGATAACAGAAGAAAGATACCATAAACAAGAGGACAAACACATACAGCAGGCTTTAAAGACCTGCGGATACCCGACATGGGCAATTAACAAAGGAAAACAACAAACAACTAAAGAAAGAAAAAAACAAACACAGCAAAGAACCAGAAACCCAGAAAGACAAGAACCAAAACCAGTGATAACCCTACCATACATCAAAGGCATAACAGAAAAAATAACAGCAACAATAAACACACCAACAAAACCATACACAACAGTTAGAAACAGACTAGTACACCCACAAGACAAGATACCAGCTGGACTTAAATGTGGAGTCGTTTACGAAATCCCACGCAAACTCTGCAATAAAACATACATAGGAGAAACCGGACGCCAACTCAACACACGAACAATAGAACACAGAAAGGAGTGTGAGACAGAAACAAGTCGAAGACACACAAGAGCAGCTAAAGAAGAAGCAGAAAGTACAATAAAGAAGTCAGCCGTAACAGATCACTGCACAAGAGAAAACCATGTAATGGACTGGGACAACACAAGGATCATAACCACCGAACAACAGAAATACAAAAGATGGATAAAGGAAGCTATCGAGATAAGGAGACGTGGATGTGGGACCATGAACAGGGACGATGGAGTTTACTTAGTGGATCGTGCATGGGACTGCATCATCGGAGAGGGGAGAGCGGGCAGCAGAGGGCGACAACGTCCTCTGCTGCCCGCGGATAAACGGAGTAGGAAGTGACGCCACCATCAGCGTCAGCTCTGAGGAAGTTTGCAGCTGCAAACGAAACGTCAGCAAGGTAAAGAAAAAACCTTATCTGTGTTTAAAAAAGAACCAAAAATAGAATTTGAAGACAAACACAGCAAGAACGTACAAAAGAAGTTATTTGAGAACAGTGCTTTTTGGTAACGATCTGTCCAACATATTAAAATGAGGATGGAGGAATGTGGTTGGGAAAAAATCCTGATTAATCCTTATCGGAGATATTTTAGGCAATCTGACTGATCTAAATGGAATTATTCTGAGAGAGCTAGCATCTTTTTCAGAATGACAAGTCCACCAATTATAGTGCATTCATTCAGAATAGGGGCATTTACTAAATATTGTACCAAATTCCAATACAACCATAAATACTCAGAAGAATGTCCAAAATATGCCTTCAGCTCCTTCTCTGCTGCTCAAGAGTCATTAAATCATTTTACAGTTTCAGTCCCTTTTGCTCATCCTTTTATTTACCTAAAGAGAGAAGAAGCTGAGCCGTTAGGTCTGTGCTGCCTGAGGGCCAGCTGGAGTGAGCTCTCTCTCATCTGGTCCCACGGCTGCTTCATAAACGGGAGGAACCACGTCCTACATAGTTTCACCGCTGTCTGACATGATCCAAACACATGTGCCACAGCAGAAAGGCAGGGGGAGGAGAGGATGCCTACAGAACAGCATCACTTCAAAACTAACAAGTCTGCACATGGTAACAGGAGCTCAGAGAACTACTTCTGAATGTATTCAATCTCCCACATTATCAGGTTTAAAGGCTGCTGCTTTAGGGAAGACGGTTTTATTTTTGACATGATTGGACATTAAACGATGCTTTCTCTGGAGGCAGTGTAAAAGCTGAAACAGCTGACAGCACGCCTGATCCTAAAAACCACATTATTTACTGTTTTCCTGCTGAATTGGAGCGTTTGCTACGATGTAATTAACATTTATAACTGCATTTTATTCCTATCAACGCGCATTAAAATAGTCTTCATATGTGAGATTTATTATTAAAGCCAAAATGCAAAAACATTTAGTTTTATTGATCTTCGCACAAATGCCGCCTGTTGTGTTTTCTAACGACACTCCCAGACCTGCTGGGACCGGTTTTATAAGCGGCGCGTGTCTGAGTGATAAAAACACGCTTTAATGTAGCTGTCATGTTCTTCCTTTGTGGCAGACTGGGGGGAAAATGGAAAACACAATAAAGGAAACAGGCAAGGTGAGGTATGCGCTGACATTCGCGGCTTCCCAGCCTTCCAAACGCGGCCAGCAGCATCGCACAAGCAGCGTTAGACATTCACCGAGCGGCAGGGCTTAGAAATATGCCAAGCCTAACGGAGAAAAACGCTATCAATACCTTTCTTCTCTTCTCCCCCTCACTGTCACCCGATCTTTTCATGTTCCTGGTGTTGTGTTTACACTGCCTCGCGTTCATGACGGACGACGCTGGTCGTTGTAGTGCACGAGCAACCGCCTTCTCCCTGTTTTTCCGTCTGACGCGCTGCGAATGACAAAGGGACGGTCGCTGAGTTTTACTGCAACGAAAGTCGCCGCTAACTGCAACGTTAAGAGTTTAGTTGTAACGGTTCTCCGCGGAGATCCTAAACGTTTAGCGAGAGGAACTACAACTCCCACAGTCGGAGAAGGCTGGTGGCGGACGTGACGTAACCACGTTCAAGCTTGTGCACTACGCAGGCGCAAAGGTGCACAGAAGTTCAGCAGTCAAACAGAAGTTGTCTATGTTTAATCTTGTAACAATGTTTTTACTTTGTGATATAAGTGCCTCTCTTTAAGTTTCTTATTTGTTTTTCTTTTATTGTTACTAAAGATGCCTTGTATGTTTCCCATTATGTGTTGTTGTCTCACGAGAAATTGTAATAAGCATTTAATGATAATAAAAAAAATAAAAATAAAATAATAATAAGTGGCACGTCTACGTTTTCATGTCCATTGTAATACCACAATGGTATACTTTATGTGTTCCATGTCTTACAATTCTATGTTCAAAATGTGCTAAATAAAGTTATAATAAAAAAAAACAGAAGTTGTCCAACACACTTTAACATTTAATGATTTAGTTCAGTTATAATGTTATTAATAAGAACGGTGAACATGTTTTTGTTAAATTTGTATAACTGGAAATAATTTGTGTGTGTGTCTGTAGCTAGACACGCGCGTTTATACAGTATGTTTCCTCTCGGGCACTCCGTTCAGAGGACTTGTCCTTGCGCGTGGTCCCTTGGTCACGGCTGAAGGTGCAGGGTGACAGAGCCTTTTCAGCTGCAGCTCCAAAACTTTGGAATGAGCTTCCATTACAGATTTGGCATTCCTCTTCTGTAGCACTTGTTAAATCAAAGATGAAGACCCATTTTTATGAACTGGCTTTTAAATCTGTGTGAGTAACTGACGGACGGTGTTGCTTCTTCAGTCTCATTTCTAATGTTTTTATTTTGTTGTGTTATATTTGTTTTTAGCTGATTTTATATGTTTTGTTTTTATCTGTATCTGTGAAGTACTTTGGTGGCATGTAAGTTTGAGTCGAGTCAAGAGTCCAGTAGCTACTGTCAGAGGTGTGGACTCGAGTCACATGACTTGGACTCAAGTCATTATTTTAATGACCTTTGACTTGACTTGATACAATCTGTAAAGAATTACTTGAACGCCAATGACTTGCGACTTGAATCAAATTGCATCTGTTGACTTGATGATGACTTGAGCATATTTGATATTTTAGCACAAAAGTGGCACGACATGGACAAAAATCATGAATCATTCTTTGTTCTGGGTTAGATGTCGTACTAATAAATGCAGTTGCACTTTCTGCTTGTTTGAGCAAATGAAGCTTTTAGAAGCTTTATTTCTGGAATTTTTTTATTATCTTTGTCATGAAATTTAAGTTGGACAGATGACTTGATTATGACTTGAAAATTCAAAGTTAAGGACTTGGACTTGACTTGGACTTCAACATCATTGACTTTGGACTTGACTTGGACTTGGTTATCTTTGACTTGAACTTGTCTCAAGACTTGACTGGAAAGAGTTGTGACTTGCAAAGCAGTAACTTGGTCACACCTCTGGCTAATGTACCCCAAAAATATCCTAAGAAAAAATATTAAATTAAAATAACTTTTTAAAGATTGTTGGTATTTTTAATCTTTCTTAGCCAGATGATCATTACTGAGATATAAAGTAGGGGTGTAAGAAAATATCGATATGGCAATATACCGTGATATTTTTTCCTGCAATATTATATCGATATTCAAAAGCCGTGTATCTAATTTTTGGACGAATTCACATGCAAACATTTGTGTATTTTCTTTTCTTTTGGTGTAATTCAAACACTGACCACTAGTTGGCAGAAGTGTGCAATGGGTTTTGTTTCCACTGTCGGTACAAGATCTGCTCGGGTGCAAAATTGGCTCGGTGTCCGTCGACTGCCGATGACGTCTAAGTAGTTGATTGGCTGAACATGAACCTTACAGAATTACGTAATCACGTTACATTGTTATCATGTTACATTGGTCCAGGCAAATCTTTCTGTTGGAAAGATGGACAACTTTTACAAAGAAATCCATCATTACCTCTTTGAAAATACACTTTTAGCATAGAGCTGCATGTATATTAGGGCTGAACGATTAACTGCATGTGCAATTAAATTGCAATGTCACAAAAGGAGATTTTCTAATCGCAAAGGCTGCAATTTGGCAGCGAGTGGTTAGCGCAACGCTAATATACATGGAAAAACCCATAGGAATGCTAATGCTAATATCACCGATTACATTATTACAAATGATGAATTAGAAACGTGCCAAATGAATACATTTGGAGTCTAATAGAAAGAAAAACTACCATCAATCAAATAAGTACAGACAGGTATTTTAGTAAAGCCAGAAAACGTTTAACTCCAGAGTTTTGGCTAGCAGCTGTGAGCGTAAATGAACTACGCATGGACAAGATGTCAAAAACTCTAAACACAAAATACTTCAATAAATGGGACACACTTCTTTCCTGCAAATACAATTCCACAGGTGTTGCTAATACCTACGATCCTTCAAGGGATGTGCTCAAAGAGGAGTTCAACATTATGAATAAAGTATAGTGTTTTGTTTTACAAATACCATTATAAACACAAACTTACGTCTTAAGAAACATTATTTTAATAACGAATCTGCAAAATTCTTTCCAACAGTTTAGATGTGTAGTGTATTTTGTCCGAGTGGGTTTGCCGTACTTTGACGTCATCAGCAGTCGAAGGACCCCGAGCCGATTTTGCACCCGAGCAGATCTTTACCACCACTGAAATGTAAATCCGTCAGCTATGGTTCAGATACCTCGTGTTAAACATGTTACGTATCAGTTTGGACTGTTTATTGAATTTTCCTACAATAATTCCAGTCTAAAAAAAATTGCTAATATCGTCTGGCTGAATGTATCGCAATATATTGTGATATATCGTAACGTCTCATCTGTATTGTGATACGCAAACTGTTGATTTCTCATTTCTTTTACAAGCTTTTAAAATTTTCACCTAATGAAATCAGATAGGATTAAGCATTTAGTCTCAAGAAATTTCAGTGACTTCGAATAGAATTTTTAAAACACGTATCTGCAAATAAGAGCATCTGGTTTAGAGTGAACAAAAGAGAAATTAAAGTACAAGACGTTTATTTTCCTCAAATGATGAAGCAGGGTCTTTGCTTCTGTTTAATTGTTTATATCCATCCATCCATTTTCTTCTGCTTTCCTCTGGTCAGGTCACAGGGTCAACAGCCTAAGCAGAGAGGCCCAGTTTTCCCTCTCTCCAGCCTCATGGGCCAGCTCCTCACAGGGAATCCTAAGGCTTTCCCAGGCCAGACGAGAGACATAGTCCCTCTACCGTGTCCTGGGTCTTCCTTAAGGTCTCTTCCCATTTAAACGTGCCAGGAAAATCTCACCAGGGAGTTGTCCAGGAGGCATCCTGAGGTGCTAGATGCTGGATCACAATATCCTCGAAATTTTGCTCCACGGTCCCACCGAACTCCTCCCACGCCCGGGTTTTTGCCTCCGCCACCACCCGAGCCACATTCCGTTTGGACTGCCGGTGCCTCTCAGCTGCCTCTGGAGTCCCACAGGCCAAAAGGACCTGAGAAGACTCTGGGGGTGTTTCTCAATGTCAAGGCGCCTGGCCTTGTGAGGAAATGTCTTGCGAGGCCAGGCTCCTTGCTTACGAGGACACTGTCTGTCCTTGGTCAAAGAAAACAGTTAAATAGAACAGACGTGCATCACGTGACCGCGACTTCCACAGCGGTCACGTAACGCCACGTGACACGGGAGACAATGTTATATTTTATATCTATTGGTTTCAGAATAAACATATGAGACTTTTACTTTTCAAATTGTGTATATGTTTATTAAATAAAAAATATAACTGAGTTACTACCCGCTAGTCACCGAAGCTGCACCTACTAAGCAACTAACTAACAATAGAAAACTTCTCTGGATCTAAAAAAAAACATTTTTAATTAGTTGTCTTACTTTTAAACTTGAAAATTGTCCCAGAAGTAGCTGTCGGTTTCTGATCCGCCGTCCTTTAGAAAATGTTGCGGTGTATTCTAGGTAATTTTTGACCAAGGCTACGCTACAAGACACATTCCGTGTATCCTCGCTCAGCTAGCTAAACGGTTAACAAACGGAGAACATGCCTCGGTAGAACATGAACATTGGAACCGATTGGAACACGTCTTGGCGGCTCCCGATGACGTATCTCCTAGGCAACCGGGGCGGGGCCAAGACATCTAGGCAAGGTTCCTTGGCATTGAGAAACACCCTCTTTCTTAAGCTTGACAGCGCCCCTAACCGCCAGTGTCCACCAGCAGGTTCCAGGGTTGCCGCCACAAAAGGCATGAAGAACCCTGCGGCCGCAGCTTCGTTCGGCCACCTCGGCAACGAAAGCACGGAACATAGCTAATTCACATTATTAAGTATTTAAAAAATAAGTATTGTATACTATTTTAATCATTGATGTTTTACATACTTTCCTTTTGTTTGCAAATCAAAAGCAGGGCCACTTTTATCTTAGGCCATGTGTAAAAATAGCCGTCATGCTTTGAACGTGCTCCAGTCCAAAGTCTCGCCAATCTTCTTCCAGCTCCTGCGTGCGTTCTCACATCCAGGTGGCTGCTTTTCTCCCAGTGTGGGCTTTGACTCTGTCAACTCTTTTCAACTCACCACAGATCATGAAAGTGCCCCATGAACGCACACAGGCAGTATGGCTGCCTTTGTCTGCAACCTGCAGATGCCCTTCGAGAGTTGAACCAGATTGCTTGTAACATAGTTTAAATAGTCCTGAAATATGTTTTATCCATTGTTGCTATCAAAGCACATGTGAAAGGCATAAGTGTTTCACGGATTGAGTGGTGCTGGCTGTAGGAGGGCGGGGCTGGGGTGGACTGTAGAGGTCTGTAACACCTGTTACGTATTACCGTTACAGACTTTGATCAGCGTCTTCATTAGTTCCCTTTGTGATCTCTTTTCTTTTATGAGAGAACTGACCCAAGTGAGTGAGGTGCACTGATTTAACACATGTGTTTCGTTTACCTGGTTTACAAAAAAAAAGGTTATCAAAGATGTCGG